GGACTCCTTGTTGCGATAAAATCTTTAAAACTCTAATGGCCCTGTGTCTAAGCTTTTTGACCCTTACTTCTTTCCAATCTAGATTCCATTCTCCTTGTTTCAATCATTCTAGCCACATCTACCACTACCGCATAGGAAGCAAACCTTTGGGTGTTAAAAACTCTCAATAGTGACTCTATTAGTTCCCTAATAAATCTCTTGATCCTCTTTTGCTTAGTTAGGACCAAGTCAAAAACATATCTAGAAAGTTCGATGAATCAAATATCATACTCTGTCACTATCTTGTTCGAATTCTGTACTAATGTTTCAAACTCTTGTGCCTCAATGTCTCTTATGCTCTTAGATAAGAAGTGATCTAGAAAAGCTTGGATAAATACCTCCCATGTTATCAAAGCTAACCTTGATAGCTCACTTCTCTTTAGAAAGATAAACCATATTTTGGCCATATATTTTAGTCTAAATCCCACCAATTCCACTAACAGGTATAAAAAGCATCCCAAAGCAGAACAGATACATTCCATATCTTCCAAAATTCTTTATGGATCTTCTTTTACATTTGAATCGGTAAAAGACAAAGGCTTAAGCTTCATAAAATCTACCAAGGTAACCATAATAGCGTCTTTCAAATGTTCATATTGAGGCATGTAGTCTGGATCTTGCAAACTAGAATCAACCAATTCCTCAGATTGTCTTACCTCTATTGCGAAACTTAGCACACTCATTAGCCAAACTTTGTAGCCCTACAGCCAGATCCTCTGAGGTGACACCTTCTCCTATAAGGTAGTCATCCTCAACTTCCATATTCTCATCACCCATATACATGCAACTGGGTTCCATATTTTAAGCACATCACACTGTTCTATTTCTACCATGACTCCTTAACATGGACATCCACGGTTGTTCCATAGGCTCTTCGGGGGCATATTGCTCTCTTGTGGCCCTTAAGGTAGCTCTCGTCTTAGGGCGGCATCCTATACCAAGATAAAGCAACACCATATTCAAAAATTTTCAAAGTTCGTCATCCAACAAGGGTTAGTTACTAAGAACTTAGGAATTTATTTAGCCTTTCGCTCATAAATTGTGCTGCAATCACAAACCATGAACAAGACTTTACTCTAATCCTGACACTCCGCTGACAGACATAAAATGACCTAAGACACTCTAAAACCTAAGCTTTGATATTAACTTTGTCATGACCTAAACCTAGGGGTCCATGATTGACGTATAAGTCCGACAGCAAAGTGCGTGAGACCCAAGCAAGCCTTGGAATTCCAAATCATTTAAACATAGCCAAGGGTTTCCAAACTCATATATTCATATAATATTTAAACTCAAATAATAAACGTTGCCCCTTGGCACATAATTTGTACACAATATTTAATACACTATCCATAAAGCCATACATTGGCCAACTATGCAGGTTTATACTTAACAACCCTTAATACAAGTTTGAATGGCACATCATGCTTACGTGAATAACCACTGAACCAAACTCCAAAGACAGTAGTTCTTGACAGACTCAACAAAGTGGACATGTCAAAATGAAGACTTACCAGATGCTCAAATTGGTCTATCAATGGATGACCTTTACCACACAGTCTTATGGCTTATTTATCTGCACATGGTACGAAATGGGTGAGTCATCTAATACTCAGTAAGGGGTGCAGATAAATCAAACATATATATATATATTAGACTAATATATATATATATAATGCATTATCAGTACAACCAAATATTTTGATAAGCATCTCCAATGTTAAAGGCATATAAAACATCCCTAAGAGTTTCCATAAATAATGCATCACTAGACTTATCTCTAAAGCCAAATCAATGTGAATATCCATTGGCACACACTAGTTGCCAGGGTATCTTATCAATTTCAAATCATTTTTATCTAAGCCTATTCGAGGTTATGTCATATCAATCACAAATCATATCATAATCGTGGAATGGTCCTTCCCTAGACATCATCAAATCACACGCTGTGGCTAACATGCAAAGTCAAATCATGCTTAAGGCTAAAATACTGGTGAAGAATCAAATCATGCGCATGCTGAAGCAACGAGCGCAGAATCAAAGTCATTATCCAGAATAACCTCCCAACAGATAACATCACTTGAAGTATTCTCAAATAGGGTGGCATTAAAGCAAAGTCATCATCTAGAGTAATCTCAACGAATGGCATCAAAGCACTACATGTGGGAATCATACCCAGGACTAATACCACCATACTTGTAGGCATAGAACAAAGTCACAGGGAATAGGACTCCACTAAACCTCAAATCAAATCAACATTTAGAACCCATTCCTCAGACAAAATACAAATCCACAAACGAGGCCATTATGTCTTTGATAATCCCATATGTCCACATCAAATTACAAGTCATATTTAATAAGCTTCAATCATTTATAGGCTTGATACGGTTTTAAGTGCCCTTAAATTTCTAAGACATCAAATGTTCAAACTCTTTGAAAATCATTCATCTTGAGTAATCTACTCCTAAACTTTCATCATAGTCACTACACTTCCTAATCTAGGTTCACACAATATAGGCCATTATATGGCTTGCACTAAAGCACACAACATAACACATAATCACATATTTTTTTCTCTAACCTAGACATGTTCATCTATGCCTACATATATATTCTAGTACCATGCTAGTGCATTTATTTTGCATCATGTATCACGTGCATTTTAATTAAACCCACACATAGTGACAGTCGAAGGCGCCCCCATAGCCAAGTTCCAATCCTTGGCCTCCAATCATCTTTCAGCACACCCACAAATTAATTATCTCTAACTTCCTTTTAAACACATCAAAACATCACAAAAATATTTATTTCCTAGCTTTCAAAAATATCTAGCTTTTCAAAAATAACTAAATTCTTAGCAATCCATTATACAAGCTCAAATCCTTCAACAATGAGCTAAACCCAAACCTTAAAAGCTGTATTGCACCAATCTAAGCTCCAAGTTCTAACAAATCTAGGGGGACTCACCAAAACTAGAATAAATCAAATTTCTTGATTATTAGTTGATAAAATTCAATATCAATCAGTACAAAAGTGTAATCTTACCTCTAGAGGAGTTTCCCGAGCTCCAATCCACTCTAAATGACTCCAAAAATACATTGGGGGTTTAGGGCTTTTGAAGTGGTAGAAAGAGAAAAGGGTTTACAGTTTCTTTGAAATGGGTGAATAGCCCAAAATCTTTTTTATTTTTGCCAATACCTAGTAATGTATCGATACACTTATACTATTTTCAACCAAATATATGTTGGTGTCAAATAAATGTGCTAGAGGGGGGGTGAATAACACTCTTTGGCTCTCACAAGATTTGACCTTTATTTGTGGACAAGTTTAAGTTTAATGATGGGAAGTTAAATGCAAGATAAGGAATAATCTAACAAGGAATGAAA